GGCCTCATTTGGGAAAGCACCGCAACACTTAATTCTGTCTTATTAACAAGCATTGCCGCTACAGGTGCGAGTAAAGTTTTATTTAATCTCTGACCCAGGGAAATGTTTTATTTTTTCAAAGAAATGTTTGTAAAAAAAAAAGTCATGGCTCCGGCTGGATTCCGGCTTGTGTTGCGGTACATGAATATAATCATATCGTTATTAATTTCTTTAGATACGCAATTCCATATTATATTCCCTTTTAATCAAATTCTAAAAGTATGCTTGTTGACTCCGGTATCACATTAGTTAAAGACTTAGATGCTTAAAGTGTTTAGGGAGAAATGGAATACTGGTGTGTATTTTTTCTTTAAATTACCGAGACCAGCCATATAGTGTATGTTTGTTCCAAAATTAATATCGCTTATGGCCTTCACATGCGTTACAATATGCTCCTATTCTTTTTATGCTCAGCTACTAAGATTTCCCTTCAGTGGTAAAATTCCATATACTGTAAATATTCAATACTAAAACGGGCACAGTAAAGACATTTAAATCTTTCTACGACCGACCAACGCACCACGAGTGCCCCTGTCGGTCAACCAATCACGTACCGCGGTATTTTGCATTGTGATGCGCGAGGCCGTAGCCAATTACCTCCGGTATGTGTCTGTACCGCGCACTTTGAATGGCTGCATCTGTATGGCACTCTGCCAGAACTCAGCATTCACAAAACAGGATGTTACAAGTTCCACATAGACGTTATGTGAAATCATGAACGGACAGCAGTTGCTATGTGTTTCCTGCTGACAGGCAAATAATATGCAGCTTGACCTTTAGGAGATACATTTTTAAAAGCATTTATTCTAGATTCTTCACCAGAAACACACCTGCATCAAAAACCATCCTAAATGTTACACCCCTTTACCTCTAGACACTTGGGGTTGTAACAAGCTATTGTAGCACAATCCGTAGAGAATACTGCCAATCTGCTGCATCCTGAATATTCATTACACTGTAGAAGTTATTCAATCAAGATCATTTTGCTTCTTACTGTGTACAATTGTTTCAAAAGCTTCAGACAGTTAAACCATGATCAGCATTTTCAAATTCATAAAAGAAGTTCATTAGGATATATCAATTTCAGCGACACTATAAAACAAAATCACAACTAGACTGTATAACCTCTGTAGCTTTCAAAAAAAATAATCTTGTGAATGTTTGATTGTTTTATGTAACATAGTTTTGGATTAGCACACTTGATTAAGGAGCAGCCCTCTGGTCATAGGAAAAGAAGGTTAGAAACTAAAATTACCAGAGCAGAAACATAAAGATGGAAGGAACAAATAGACAGGAGAATGCAGTGATTTGAGCAATTATATAGAAAGCTGCAAGGATGCTAGCCTCACCACACTGGAGATGGTTCAAATGTATATCTGGTATTTTTCTGAAGACCGGTGACCATGGCAAGATGCTGGGGAAGCTGCTCTAACATACAATGAGTGACCAGAAAGTCCCACTATGGAAAATACAGATTTTGTCAAAATTTCACAAAGGTGAAAAATAAACGAGTTACAAGATACTGTGAGGGCTTTCTCATAAATAAAAGGAGGATCAGTACAGGTACCTTGGATAATATTGAGTTGGAGATAATTAAAGAGAAGTTTGTAAAGATTAAAATATGATTATGTTTAAAATAGCAAATCTAGGTGCTATAGTTAAACTACCCTGATTTTCTTTTGTTCGTGTATCAAACATCAAATTGTTAGTGTATTGAAAGATTAAATATTTATATCTGATCAGCACTGATAAGCAAGATACTGTAATCAGTGATCTGCTATTCTGGGAGGCTTCTCAGAACATTGAGGAATTTTTATAAGTAAGATAAAGTGCATGTGATCTGGACTCACTTATAGATCTTTAGAGTGGTAGAGTGGTTTATGAAAATATATTTGCAGGTAAACCTTAATTATATACTAAGTGTTTCTTTGAAATAACTTAGGATGGAAGGGATGCTAAAGATATCAGAAGATATGAAGTTAACATTATGAGAGAGATGAAATGATCAAAAACACTTCTACACAGTCCAATAAGAGCTATGTAAGCAAGTGTGTGATTCCCAATATAAGGTAATGTCGCAAATGATGATTAACAGGACGATTAGATCTGAATAAGGAAGAATTTGACAAGGACCAGAACTGGCATCTGGAGCATCTTGAATTTCTGAAATTGGAAACAAAACCATAGCATGTAAATAGCCTGGGAAGTGAGCTAACATGACCACATAACCAAGAACGGGTTAGTAATGGAAAGCCTGTTGAGGTAATGGAGGAATTGTTGAGCTTTAAAGATCTTTCTTTCTTTGTTTGTTATCAAAATGACTGACATTGGACTTTTATTACCAATGTGATGCCAGAGGAATGTGGCAACAATGCTAGCATATAGTTCAGAGCAACAAAACATTTCTTAGAACATGATATAAAAGAAAATGCTGTCCAGTTCCCAGCAAATCACTGACCTTGATACTAGCCTCTAAAAGCCAATGAAGGGGCCTGCATCTGTGAAGAGTTGGACATCTTCTGGAAATGACAAACAAATGTTATAGAAGAAGGACTTCCCATACCAGTTCACCAAGAACAGATGTCATATTCGAAGCTCTGCTTTTCAAGTTGACATAAACGTTACATAATTAGGGAAAGTAACAGATAAAGGTAGACTTAGAAGATATTTAAAATGAAAATGCTCAACTTTGGGGAAATATTCACATAGTGTAATTAAGGAGACTGTAAACAAGCAGTGTTTAGTGCCTTTACAACTACCTTTTCTTAAATCCTTTGGAGGATTTACCACAAGTTATTTTAGCCACCAACTACTCTTCCAAGCCAAAAGACTTTCAATGACAAACAAAGTTCTGGCATAATGTGAGGTCTAATGACCCACAACCGTTCATACTTGGGACAAAGTCTCAATTACAAAAAATCTGTACATCATTACCTAGACTTTCAGTTTCTTATCCTAGTTTGATAACTTGCCTTCTGGGAAATGTAGTCTATTCTACCCTACAGTACATGACATGACTACAAACTACAGCAGTAAGTTTACCAGTACAGCTTTATTAAATCTCTCAGTCCATAATGCATTACCTTGTAACCTTGATTCATATTTTTTTCCAGTATATATTTGTTAACTAGCTTAAGTGAAAAGCTCTTCTATTTAAAAGACAGCACAGCAGTGTATTTGGCTTCTGTTTCAGCCAATTGCATGTTGTACTCGTCTCTCTCTTCTTATTGTCTCTTACATCACGATTTGTGTCCATGGCCATCTTAGTGCTTTCAAAAACATTACAAATAATTACAAACAATACAGCAAAACACAAGCCTGATATGAAAGTAAACCTTTCCTTAACACCTTAAAAATATTTTTGATTGCATATTAAGAATATATCTCTTCTCTACTACTTAATACAGCATTCATGAAATTTTGAGTTGAATCACCTGGTGCTGGGAGTGAGTAATTAGTCTGGACACAGGATCTACCTGTACCTTAAATGCAAGGACTTGTGACTCCACTTCACTGTCAGTAGTATTCAACTATCCAAACTTTCCCCTCTTTCATGTTAGTCAAAAATACCATTTGAAAAATTAAAAGTGTGTGAATTTTGTATCTGATTAGACTTTTGGTTGAGTTTCATTCTGTAAACAATTAATGGGGTGGAATAATATTTTATTGCTCTCCAAATATTATGGATAAAGCTTGGGGTCTGAGACGTCCCCAGATGAATATTCCCAGATAATACAGGCAATTGGTTTTTTCCCTGGTGTAACAAAAAAAAAGAAAAAGAGCAAAATCTGGAAACCAGTCAGAACTGTTTTTGGGGATTCTGATTTGGCCAGTTCAGTTTGGTCAGAAAAAAATATCTAAATTAGCTATAAATTAATTAATTAAATCTACAAGTTAATGAAGGGCTGTTTATTAAAAAAGTATTAATTTGTCTAAAATATTTTTTCTTTAATTAATACTTAAACAGTCCCTTCTCTGTATGTATTCATTGCTCTGATTTTAAAGGTGGCAAAACCTTAAAATAGATATCATAAACTTATATATTTAAGAAATTATAAACTAAAGACCATCTAGCACATGTAGCTTATTTGCCTGCAAATATCGAATTGATCTGAGGATGTTTTCCTTTCTCAGCCATTTTCTGAAAGAAACCAGGCTATCAGCACACTCCAGAAGCCGAAAACAAGGCTTCAAGTTTTCCAGTTTTAAATGTGATTATTTATAGAATAGTCAGCTCTTTTAATGAGTTGAAACACATTTGTATGACCTTTTCATAGGGTTTTCATGAAGTTTTTATTTGAAACAATTCTAGGATTATGAAATTTAAAACTTACTACTACTTTTTGTAGTATTGTTTTTTTAGTCGTTATTTAAAAACTGTCTGGTGTTTTGTGAAAATATTTTGTTTTTCATATGCTACAGAGTTGTAAAGAAAAAAAGCAAGGATTTCAAAACAGGAAAAGTGATGGAGAAGGACAGACGAATTATTGAAGAACTCAGGAGTCTCCACTGCTCCCCACATCCTTATTACAAAGTGTTTCCAAGTGAAACTGATATGAGTGAGTAAAATCAAACATCATTTTACCCATGATTTCCAAGTTTCTAATATAAGCTGCTTAAATAAATAAAAAGATAGTTGGAATTTACAACCTGTGTCTCTTTAGAAAGTAAGGAGGAGGTTAAATAGAAAAAAGCAAAAGAACCCATGCTATAATTACTCACGATTAAAAAAAAACACACACACACAAAATTAAATTAATAAAGTCATTGATCTAAATTATGATTTAAAGTAGTTGTATGTGCATTGTTCCAGCTTTTTGGCAGATTCTTCTACTTGGCCCACCTGATACACCATATGAGAACGGTGTCTTCCTTCTGTACTGCAAGTTTGAAGATGAATACCCCCAGAAACCTCCCCTTGTGAGGTTTATCACACCAGTATCCTTGAAGTTTAATGTACAGTAATATTGGAATAGCAATATTTATCACAATCAGGTTGTCATGCTTAGAAGAGAGTAAAGGGATGCAGGATAGAAAGATGCTTTAGAATTTGGATAATGATGTAGGAAGGTTTTTAATTCTGAAATAGACTAGAAATATTATGTGATATTTCTTTTGTGATTTTCAACTTGTTCCTAAAACCATAATAGCTTAAAAACTACTTTTATGTTTGTCTTGAATCTATAAATTAAATAATAAATATACAGTGTATAATAAGTGTTTCCTCAGAATTGCTGTGACAGCAGCTCTATTACCTTGTAGCCCGATTTCATTGGATCATGGAAACTAAGCATGTCTAAGTCAAGTTAAAACCAGGGATTAAATTATTTCTTTAGAGGAGTGTAGAGAGGTACTGTTTATTCAACATATACAGTGCCCTCCATAAGTACTGGGACAGTGAAGTAAAAATTGCAGTTCTGTATACTCTATTGCTGTATACTGTATAAATGAAATTTGAATGCAAAGATGAATATGAGGAAAAGTACTGATTATATGTTGAAAGATGATGAAATATGTGCTTACAGTATATGAACAGTTTTAGAATAATAGCAGTATATGCAGTATATACTGTATATAGGACTATATATAGTTGCTATTATTAGTATTGTTTGATCATGGCAATTTATTATGATTAATAGTTTTAATAATATACTGGTGCCTTCCTTAAAATGTATAACTAGATATACCACTGCAATGTGAACAGTGTGGGGCGCATTTGTCACCAAATATTTGATCGGAATTATTCTGCTCATATAACAATGAAAGAGGTCTTGGAAGCTGTTTATGGACTTCTGATTGCACCTGAACCAGAGGATCCGTTGGACAGGTATTTTTTTGCTGTATCTAAACCTGGGACTTCTGACCTAAATAAGTGTCTCATACATCAGAGAAGAAGTGCTTCTCAAAACTTGTGTTTGTCTGTAGAGAAAATTGCAGAAAGAGAGTGGAGATCGTAGATGAGTTACACTATCCTTTTTATCTTTATTTACAAACATTTCTAACATTTCAAACAAATAAAATGTTGAGAAAGCACTCCTTGTTTGGTCTACATTATCATATTTTTAGATATAAAATGTAATTGAATGTTTATGAAGGAAAGATCAAAGTAACCATATGAGGTAATAGATTGATGAACCAGTAAACACTGGGGCCTTGCAACACTGGGGCTCAGGGTTCAATTCCCAATCTGAGGTGCTTTCTGTTTGGAGTTCATAAACATGTTCGCATGTTTGCCGGGTGCCCTGGTTTCCTTCCACAATCCAAAGACATATTGATGGGTTAATTGACTTTTTAGAAAGTTGACCCTGGTATGAGCGTGTGCTTGTTTGTCTGTGTGTGCCTTGCGATGGACTGGCATCCTGTACAAGATGTATCCCATCTTGTGCCTGTTGCTTGCCGGAATAGGCTCCTGCTCCACAATGACCCTGAATTGGATGAACCAGTTGTAAAATGGATGGATGTAATAATGAGACATACATTTAAGATAAGGACATAAATTATATTCGGATGTTTTAGTAAAAAAATGATCAAATAGTAAATATTGGTGACAACAATGACATGACATTTCCATGAATAGTTCATTAACTACATTGGCTTTTAGAAATGTGAGTAATTCTTCCTTACAGAACTTCTTCAATAATAGCTTGGTTCAGGTCTTGCCATAACAACAAGGTTAAGGACCAGACTCAGACTTGGCCAATCCAAATCTGAAATTCCTTCATCTTTAGCCATTTTGTTGAAGATCTACCTGCATGTTTTTGATCATTTTCTTGCTGCATGTCTCACTTTCAGCTCAGCTTAAGCTGCTGAATCGATGTGCTGACATTCTGTTCCAGACTTTGGAGATACAACACCAAATTCATGGTTCTTTTAAGGATGCTAAACCATTGAGGTTCTGAGGCAGCAAATACAGCCATAAATTATGATTTTTCAACCACAGTTATTACCATCAGGATGAAGTCCTTCCATTGCAAGGCAGTGTTTGCTTTTTGCCACAAAACATTTTTCATTGTAACCAAAAAGTTCAATTTTTAACCCATCTGTCCAGATAAGATGCTTCTAATAGTCTCATGGATCTGTGGCTAACCTGAGACAGACAGCAATGTTTTTTTTAGAGAACAATGGTTTCTTCCTAGCTATCCTTATATGAAGATTCCCAATCATTTTTTTCCTGATGATGATGTTAGCTGCAGGAAGAGATGTTACTGTGGCCTTCTTTTTCGACATCCTGTATGATGTTTTTTTTAGCTCTTGCATCTTGGCAGGCTGAACGTTACTTGGGATATTCACCATAGTTTTAAATATGTTCCTTTCATTTGTCTGACAGTGGATGGGTGTAGTAGGATGTTTAGAAATTATTTTGTAACACTCTTCAGATTGATTAGCATCCTAAAAACCAGGGGTTTACTTATTGTATAAGTATATATAGAGTCTACAAAGAAACAAGTAAAGGTTTATTTCATGATGAAAAGAGAAGAAAGGAAACACAAACATTTCAGCTGTGGAGCCTTCTTTGGGTGTGAAACACGGAAATGGTGTGCTTCTATTCTTCTCTTTTCAGCATGGAATAAACCTTTACCTGTTCCTTTGCAGCGTACGCATGCTGACACAGCTGCCTACTTGAACTTGTTAATATTTTATGTGTATAATGTCATATACAGTTATACATTGCCCTTACTATCTTATTCCTTGACATTGAAATTATACACTTTTTAAGGTGGGTAGCTGCATCAGCATGCGTAGGCTGCAAAGGAACAAGTAATAGGTTTATTCCATGCTGAAAAGAGAAGAAAGAAAACAGAGCGTTTCGGCTGTGGAGCCTTCTTCAGGTGAGAAAGGCCTGTCCTTCTCACACCTGAAGAAGGCTCCACGACCAAAACATTGTGTTTTCTTTCTTCTCTTTTCAGCATGGAATAAACCTATTACTTGTTCCTATATAATTTTTAATACTTGTAAACAGTATAAACCACATATCTTAAAATGTATGTAAACTCATTGAATTTTCAAAGCATTTTGGCTGAGGAATATTTGTCCAGCAAAGGAAAGTATCTGGAACAGGCCAGGAAGACAACAGCTGATTATGCTAGTACATCACTGGAGGACATGGAGAAGGTTAGTGTCCAGCAGATTTTCCCACAATGTATTTTGTATTCATACACAATGTGTATGTGCCATTGCAATATTTAGAAATAGTCTGTATTTAAATAACTTAAAGCAACAATTTGCACACAGTTAAAAACTGAAACTTAATCATTTCAAATGTTATTGAAATTATTCCTTGCATTGAGCTGTATATAAATGTAAGAAATCCTGTCATTCCAAAGCCTGAAAATAAAGTACATTTACATTTTACTTTTGGAGTTTTACTCAGTGTTTTTTAAAATTTTCTAGTTTAAATTTATTTCCTGGCCTGAACTTAAGTTGACAAATTTTGGAAATAGTTAATAGGTTTATTCCATGCTGAAAAAAGAAGAAAGAAAACACAATGTTTTGGCCGTGGAGCCTTCTTCAGGTGTGAGAAAGACAGGGCAGTAAGCAAAGGTAATGTAGCGGGAGAACAAAGGCTGGGAGAGAGGAGGAGTGAGGGGCGGGAGCAGGGGACAGAAAGAGAATGCTGGTTTAGTGAGAGAAGCGGGCAAGTGGCCCAGGGAGGAAGAAAAGTATGCCGAAGAGATCTAGAAAAAGATTTGGAGGAAGGCATATTAGGTCGCATCAGGTGTAGGCTGTAGAAGTTTAGGTGGGTAGCTGCGTCAGCATGCATAGGCTGCAAAGGAACAAGTAATAGGTTTATTCCATGCTGAATAAAGAAGAAAGAAAACACAACGTTTCGGCCGTGGAGCCTTCTTCAGGTGTAAGAAATGTCTTCCACATTGCTGTTTCTCTAGACCCACTAATGAGTGTGTCATCCATCCGTGCTGTAATTATTTTTTATTTGAGTCATTTCAACAGGTTTCTAGCCCTTACTTTAGACAGTTCCAATGAAACAAACATTGAGACAAAGGGCACAACATTCTGGCTTGAAGAAATAGTGTAATTTTCTGTGTGTTATTTTGTGTTTCCTGTGTTCTGTTTCAAAGTACAATTTGTATGACATTTACATTTTTTGGGTTCCACTACATTCTTTTCAAAGTAAAGTTATTTGCAAATTAATTCACAAACATCATTATCATATTGATCACAAAGTTTCAAAGACCGTATGAAGATTGGATTTTTAAAATGTGTCCAATGACCCAGTGAAAATTATTCACATCTCCTCAAATGATCATGTGAATTTAAAACACAATAAATTGTCTAATATACAAATGCAGAGTAGCAATAAAGCTGAAATCCAGCATATAAAATAATTCCAAAACTGTTTTACTACTTTTATAACAAATATTTTTTCACATACACAAAACACGTAATCATCCGGAGAAACATAAAAAGAGGAAATCAAAGAGATGTTATCATAGTAAGGTATTGTAATTGCAAGAGTGAAATGAATAAGGAAAGTGCTGCAGCTTCCCTAGTTTAAGACTTAAAATGAGGTTAAACTAATCTCAATCATCCTATTAATTGTCAATTCTATTTTTTCCTTTTTATTTGATTTGGAAGATAACTTTTAAGCCTTTTCAAACCATGTAACATATGTACTGGTCTGTAAACCTAATATTAAAATACTGTTTTCAAGATGTCTGGTTTAACTTTGAGACAAAAACTTTCCAGGCGTTGCTTAGGAAATATAAATAATTTACTTAATATATACATCATTTGTTTGAGAGTATGCTCATTGTTTTCTGAAAACTTTGAGTCATTATTATTCACATGGTTCAAAACAAGGCATGCTGTTGAAAAGAAAAAAAACTAATTTATGCATTGTTGGCATATGAAAATATGTTTAATAATATGTTGTTTGGATATGAGCAGCATGTGTTTACTGTTTAGACATCATACAGTGTATAAAATAAAATAAACCTTTGTAGATCGTTCCTGACACATCTGTGTGTTTTAATGTTTACCATCCCTAATCTTAATAAATAACAATAAACAATTTATTGTTTTGTATTATATAATTATTGTTAGTCTGGTTTGTTATTGTGTGTGTTATCTCCAATGTAATCCTTAATCTCTAATGCGCTTTATCTTTGCCAATTTACTCTATAGAAATTAGTGGACATGGACCTGGCAGATGATAATGCCCCTTCTCATCTGGTTTGTAAACTGACAAAAAAGATGTTTGATGATCCGGTGAAAACCCCATATGGAAATATTTACGAGTGCAGAGCCATCGAGAAACATTTGAAACTGTATGTACTGTACCTGTAAAAATGTCTTCCTAAAGTTTTGCAATGTCAATTCTGAAACTATAAAAAAAAAACAAAACAACAACAACTTGTTGTGAGTAATGCAGTTTTATTACCTGGCAATTTTCTCTTCATTGAAACAAAGCTGGAAAACCACATTGTTGCTGGATGGCATTTTCTCCAACACTTTTAATGTTTTAAGTACAACACAAAGCAAATACAATTTATGTTAATGCTGTTTGTTACATGAATTTTTTTTGTTTTTCATTATTTCAGACTTCAAAATGATGCTCAAAGCAAATAATTAAGAATTCCACAGCACAAATTAGAAAATTAGGAAGAATCAATTGAACTTATAAGTATCCTTTTTCCCATTAACAAATTATCTGTTTAGATTTAGCCCTTTGAAATGCATTTAATTTTGTTCATCTTAACTTTAAATTGATAGCAATCAGAAAATGCAAAGTTCAAAAGAACAAATGTTATATTCTTGCATCTTTTTGAACAGAATACTTCATTCTAAGAAGGGTGTAATGTAGCAGTGGAGTGTATGCACAAACATCTGCATTGTTTGTGTTTCTCTAGAAGCCACATTTCCTGTATGTAATTAGCTTTTTTCACAAAACAATAATTTTTTTTTCACACATAAAGGCATATACAATATAGATGCATACAAATTATTACACAGACAAATAAACATACTTAACAAAATCATTTGCAATGAAAAGTGTAATACCACTGTATTAACTTTTTTCATTGTTATATTTTATTCTTAATCTATTAATTCATTCTTAATTAAAGGTAGTGATCAATACTGAATTTTACTCCTTTTAGATTTAGGTGCCAGAATCTAATATAGAGCTTCTTTTTATATATTTTATATATTTGATTTTCTTTTGGATTATATTCTGTTATCAAATATGTATTGATACAAATTAGTATCATATCAAGTGCATTTACAGATAACAATTAAGAGGAAACCACATACATTTCCATTAAAGTTGACAAGACTTTCTTTCTTTTTTTTTTTCTGGGTCCTGGCTAATTCTGTTGACCTGACTAGGTAAGTATTTTAAACCTGTATTACAGAGAATAAAAACATTATTTTTCTTTTTACTGATTGCAAACAATATGTATAATCAACTAATTTAGTTAGTTGTAAGTTCAAGGTTCTCTCTTTTTTACTTATTTCATTTACTATTGTGTTTGTCTGGTCAAATCACTGTGAATTTTAATTTATTCTTAAAGCGTGTATCATTATATTTTCTGATAATCACTCAACAAGACCTAATATCTAATTAGTCTGATGTCTTTCCGTTTGATCTCATTTTCTTCTTTCTTTGCCTGGTGCTGTACCCATATATGAACAGTAATTATCCGCAAGCAAAGTTTAATTTTGCAGCTCTCTTTTCTTTGCTGTCCTTTTCAGTCACATGGAAAGATTGAAAATATATAACAGCCTCAAACACATCTACTGCCTAGGTGTTGCTTTTTCTTATGAAATAATCTTAAAATACTATATTGCTTTGACAAGTGATAACTGAGTAACACTAAAAGGAAAACAGATTCACTTATTGCTTCTGGCAAGCCTTTATAAAGAATATTAATTTATTAATTCAAATTAAGTCATGATAATTTCATGCCTCCAACTTAATCTATCAATTATCTAGACATATTAAGGGATAGGAAATGATTATACAATTTTAATCCCATATTTAAAACTGCATGTTCATTTCTAATGATCAACTCATGTGGTTTCCAATGGATTCTAGACTTTGCTGGATACAAATGACATTAGCAGGAGAAAAAATGACCTTGTCATTACCTCTGTCATGCTCCAAAATACCAAGATGAGTCAGGCGAGTTTTGAATAAGCTGTGATGAAAAAAGAAGATAATAAAAAGAAAGAAACTAAAAACAATCCAAATAACACCACCTTATCTGTGAACCATGGTTGAGGTCATAGTCTTGGCATGGGTAGCATGGCTTTCTTTGAAACTCTTTTTCTTTGATGATGTTACTAAAAAAGACAGAAGCAGAATGAAGTTAACAGAAACATTTTGTATTCTTATGTAAAATAAAATTAATAATGTAGCTGAGTGGAAATTATTAAGCAAAGACAGGGCAAGTAAAAGAGGACATGTACCTTTAAATTGTATATTTAAAGATAATTGAAGTGTGGAGGGAATTTTAGCTAAAGGTAGACTAAACTCTAGTAAAGATTTCACACATCAGCAGGAAAAAATAAGATCTGTGTGGATTTATGGGTTTTTGTTGGGACAGTCCCCTATTCAACACCATGTCCTAGGCTGTCTTGAAATTTTTTGAACAGATGTAATGCACAAAAATTGAAAAACTTTTTGAGAATTAACAAATCCTGGTGACTAGTCAGTTTGGGAAATATGGTCACTCAACAAAATTTATATTGACCTGAAGAAAACCTCATATTTTACGGTGCCAAATTTACCATATCTAAAGATGATGTGAAACAATTAAAAAGATTAGTTTAAAGTTTCCTTTTAGCATCTTGTAGAACACAATACATTGCAGTTGCACTGTCTGTTCTGTTCATATTGAGGGAAAAATAAACATTTCTCAAGACATCATTATCAGATCAAAATAAGAAGTTCATCTATTTTCTACAGCTCATTTTCCAATTCAGTTTTACAGAAGAGCTAGAGCTTAATCCAGCAAACATGGACATAAAACGGGATACACCCTGGATGGGATTCCAGTCCATCAAAGGGCACAGACAGATACGCATACACATACAAACTTACTGGTATGGTTTTGGACTGTGGGAGAAAAACTCTGAGCAAACATGGAGGGGACATACACATTCCATACTGGTAGCACTCCAGGAATCAAATCCATTGTGCCCCCATGCTGCCCTTAAATTAGCTTTTAATTTTGTAATGCAAATTTATCAGAGTGGAAGATAGGATTTCAGGCATTTGAGAAATCGTGAGCACAGCTCTGGGGAAAAAGTAATAACATTGGAGACTTTCTTCTAAGCTTTCTTCTCTCTGTTTTACTTCAGTTTTTTTTTTCTTCCTGTTCTCCCCTCTATTCTTTTATTTGCTGCTTTATATTGTGTATCTGTCTGTGAAACATCTACTGATTTACAATGAAGTTGATTAACTGAAGCAAATCACCAGTGAAATTTCTAAGACAACTTTAACAGTTTAGATTCCAAATGGATAAAAAAATGCTTACTTACTGTATGTAACTGAATACTTCTGCAAAATACCGGATGTACTATTAGGTTCATAATTAAGTAGTTGTTTTACACAAGTATATTTTGTTTGCTTAAACAAAGCAAAATGGCAATTTATCAAATATTTTAGTCAAACAAGTAACAACGTGAATGATTTTCTCCTAAAACTTGCAGGAGAAATGTTGACCCTTCAAACAATAAACCCCTCTGTCAAGCTGAGCTCAAGCCAAGCCTTGAAATGAGAAGAATGGTGGAACAATACAGAAGGAATCAGATTAAAGAAACTGCACTGTAACACAAATCTGGAGTTTAATCTGTTCTATTTTCTCATCATTAAATTTTCTAATCTCAAAACTATTTTTGATTTTAATACAGATCTGATTTGAAGAAGAGCGTTAATGTATAAACCTTTAGTTAAACCACTAAAGATAAGCTTATCTGCAGTGGAAATTTGACATAGTAAATGGATGACATTCTGATGAGATATGAATTTAATTTTATTTTGAAAGAGCTTTATTGGTATAAGCTGTGTAACCCTATTGTTAGCTTTTTTTACTACTATATATATTTTACTTTACAAAATTTTACTCATATTATCATATATTGTATGTATTACTTTGATGCATTAACTGGTTTTGAGTGATTGTTTTTATATGAAAGCTCAATAGTAATTGATATAACAAAAAAACGCATTTGTACCAAATAGTAAATCTTGTTAGAAGATTTATATATTCTAATCAAAACATGTATATGCATATGGTTTGGTAAATATTAATATTATTTACAGGTTTTTATATTACAGGGCTCTTTGAACAGTCTTTATTTTCACTGTAATCTCCAAATTTTCTTGTCATAAAATTTAGTAAGCATCACGACTGATACCTAAATTAGAACACAAACAATCCTATTGTAAGAAGGAATTGGAAAAAACACATTAAGCTCTCTGTTCTAAGGAAATTTCTTTGACTGCTGACATTGATTACCTAAGGAACCCCAGTAAAACTAGTTCAGGAAGACTATATGATACAGCTTTGAGAAATAAATATTTACTTTGAGACCATGGTAGAAAAAAAATGTTTTTGAATGTAGATGTTTGTTTTTGTGGTTTCCTTTGGAGATCTTCAGGGATCAATTCAATGGTCATTAACCTTCAGGACATGATGGAAGGGTGTGGTTTCTCATCTGCCCTGAACATCGAGCTAAGTGTACTCAGTATACAGCCACCGCAACCTTCATCCAGAATGTATAATTTTGATAATGGTCAAATGTACTGTTTTAATCAAAAGTTGGATAACTTAATACTTTTTCATAGATTTTACTTTAATCATAAAAATCTAAAACATGGAGTACATCTCAGTCAATCCATTTTCATTCTTTTTGTCCTGATGAAGGTGAAAGTAGGAGTATACAATGTAACCCTTAATATAATGTTCTTTATGAGATACCCAATGTAGCCTTATGAGAAAAATATATGGTAATAAGCTCAATTAACACCAAATCAATTTTCTTTATCTTTCTTTGAAATAAAAGTGCATGCAAACCAATGTTTTCTTTCTTATATTATTTATTCTTTCTAAGATAAAATTGCATCAACAAAAACATTGCTAAATTTGTAATGTGCAAATTCAATCAAATAAACGGGTTTTGTAGTCCTGGTCCTGATCCTTGTTGCATATCTTTTTATTGCTAAACTCTTATTAAAACCACATACTGTATGTGAAATTAATAAACCTGACAAAAAACAATATAAAATCACCTTTTGGGTCTTTTGACCCAATTCTTAATTAGACTTCATGTGCTGATATTTATAGCCTTTATAGTGAGGTATGTTTTGACCCTGATATACTTCATGCTAACAGAATAGAATTTCAAAAGAAATGTTCTGATTTGGTCCATCCAGACAACCTCCCCTATAAGCCCCACATTAAAATTAATTAAACTATACTTCACAAGGAATAAGGTTAACCTTTTTGACTAATTCAAAAAAGATCACAGAATTCTTGGCTTAACCAGTCAGTTGCTAGGGAATTTAATTTCAGTCCATGATCACGTGCTCATATTATTCTCCTGAATGTCCGCTGCTAGGAATTTAAATCCCCTTTCCTCCATGTGGAAGATACTTATGAATTCCATGCAGTGGGATTATGGTACCACATCAACATATTGAATATTTTATTTAGAGAACAGTATCAAAGCTTAACAGCTCATCTACAGCACAAGGGAAAGTATGACAAACAAATAATGCATACATGAGACAAAAGACACTTGGACACACGATATGTATATTCTGAGTCATTGCATGTGTGCCCCATCTCATAATATTGATCAGGCAATGATTATATAAGAAACTGCAGCTGGGTGCGTATACACTTTAAGTAAAAATATCAGAAAAGGTGACTTCCCTTGAGAGCACACTCAAGCACACCATGTAAGAGTATAATTATAAAATATTTCCATTAATAAATAATTCTATCATGTGGAGGAAAGTCAAATTGTCAAAATTTATTTGAGAATTTTTTTTTTGCTAGGGCCCTAACTGTAGTTCTGGCCCATCCCACCACCATGTTTGTAGTTTTACAGAGGTTTGTTGTTGTACTCTTTATGAGTTGAGTGCAGCATCTCCTTTTATAGGATATTACAGTCAGTTGACTAGTGCGTCTGAATGGTTAAGAAGTTGGGAGATTGAGAGCTAAAGGATTTCTTAGGCTCTTAAGGCTGACAGACATCACTCCTGATATCTTATGTTCTTATAAAAAAAGTTCAAGTTACAGAGGGGAGATTCAAAGATTGAAACTTTTTTTCTTAAAAAAAGAATTGTAAAAATAGCTTTGCTGGCAGTGATAAAAAATAAAGCTACATTTCTGGAAACAGGCTTTGAACTGTTTTAGCATTTGCTGAACCACACAGACAGTGTAGGATTTAGTGAATTAGGAGATACAAACAAGCAGACACTCTTAGACATATAACTGTGTATACAGAAAGAAAGCTAAAATTCATAAAACACACACGAAGATGTGACAGGAGATTTTAAAAGATTTAAAAGTCTTTTCACTTTTTCATATAGTAAACCATTACACAAAAAATGAACTCCAGAATTCAACTATATTGATCCAAATAATGAGTTCATTAAATATGGCAACCATAAGATTAGAAAGGCATTCCTTGTTTTTGGAAATCACCTTTTTTCTCAAGCACTTCAATTTAAGGTCTGAAAGTGCAAGCATTTTCTTTTTTGCCAGCAGTCTTTTTCTTCTCTCTAGAACCCTTTTCCCTAAACTACACTTTTGCAGTCACCAGCTTCCTCTGCTGCCTCCAGTGAGACAGTTTTCTTTTTTCCCCCAGCTAGGAGAAAAGCACTAATGTTTTTTTTTGTTATCTCTTGCAGTCTGCAAGTCAGTTTCTACTCTCCCTTCATACTGCTTGTCAACAGCTACAGTAATTCACCTGCTTTAATCTATAACCTTTTTGTCTGATCACATTCACTCATTTGCTTAATTAATCCTTGTTCCACACAAGTTCCCAGGCATTCTGAAACTCTTCACCTGGAGCAATGTCAGACAATGTCTAAGACCTATTGGCAGGCAGGGATCTCCCATCAGCTCTCAGGAAAATTAACTCCCTTGCTGTTTACCTAGAAACCTGTCTCTGTGAACCACAAGGAACAGCATTGGAGTATTCCCATCTACTTATCCATGCTCCCCTTGCTCTGCTTAATCAACAGTCCATCCAGAACCCAAATCTCATCATGGAATCCATGTGGTAGGGGAAAACAAAACTTTTCACCATGGAATGGATGTGACGCCGAGGTGAAGCCTACTGTGTGCCTACTGCAGTGAGGGTGCACACCTGATCAAGAATGCCCACACCTTTCAGGAAAAGTTCACGCTCAGTAGATGAAGCGGAGGGTGACAACACCTCATAAAAACTCTCAACATGGTCCCAGCCACTTTAGAAATGGAGATATCCAAATATCAAGAGTATTTATAGACTCTGGTTTGACAGGAAAGTTAATCTAAATCACCACTGTTAGATGTCTACAAGTGCCTGTAGTACACTGCTCACCCCAATGCCTACCCAGGGTCTAGATGGCACTCATTTAGGGTCTGATTAAATCCAGTTCAAGACTGCAAAAATTATTATGAACATGGGAAATGTCTTCATACAAAACAGATTGAGTTTTTTTGGATAACATTGCCACAATGTCTTTTAATTCTTAGGTTCCCCTAGCTCAATTGTCATGATCCCAGTTTCAACTGTTCCATAGGTCAGCTCACTGCCTGGGGCTCTGAGTTTCACGATTGCCTCCAGAATTGGAAGTCTTCTCAGTTCTAGGAGGCCTATAGGCTGAATATACGGTCACCCAAAAAAATCACTATCTCCTTCCCTTGATTCCATTACTTCGAGAAAGAGACAGACTGGCAACCATCTTTTACAAAAAAAAATATTTCCAGGGGGTATAAAATCTAATACGAATCAGGAAATGGGACAAATGGAAGACTGCTTTTAACAAGCACGGTGGACAATACAAATATTTAGTGATTCTGTTTGGGATCTGTAATGCCCCAGCTGTCTTCCAGACATTGATTAAGGACTGTTACGATCCCTGCCTCCCGGCAACGGAAGAGGCAGAAGAAGGCGTAGCCTTACTTCATCAGTCTACCTATCAGTTTTCTTATTCACCACCACACCCCCATCTCATCCTGTACTTAAACACCTGTCTTTTCCTACCTCCTCGCTCAGTATTGGTTTTCCTTTCAAGCTTCCTAGTTGCGCTACTCCTTCTTCTGCTTCGTGTCATTCTTGGTTTTCGGATTACGGTTTTTCCCCCTTTGACGACGGTTTTTCGGATCACGGCTTGGCTTCGGTACTCACACTCTGTTTTGGTTCTCTGGCTTCCCCTGGACTCTCGGATTGCTCTATTGTCTACGGTTTCGGATCACGCTTTGGCTTCGGTAACTCGTTCCCTATTTGGATCTCTGGCTTCCCCTGGACTCTCGGATTGCTCTATTGTCTACAGTTTCGGATTACGGTTTGGCTTCGGTAACTCGTTCCCTGTTTGGATCTCTGGCTTCCCCTGGACTCTCGGCTCGTTTCTTCGACTACGGCTTTCTTTGGATCACGGCTAGGCTTTATCAGCTCCTGCAAGTGGATTCATTCACTGGTTTTGGTTTCTCTTACCGAATCCGTAACAAGGACACCTTCTAGACGACCATGTAGAAGCCGGTGTCACTGAACTAGTTGCAGACTTATTTGAGCCATTTCAGTTTGGCTTCCACTCAAATCATAGCAGCAAGA